AAGGATTTTTGTATTCCATTACTTTTTATTGAAACTCTCTTGGTAATGCTTTTCAAATATGACTTTGGATGTGTGTTGGTAATCACGTGTTTCCCCATTTCTCGCCACACACGTTAGCAGGAAGCTGTTCTAGGTGATGCCTGAGTGTTGCGGACACTTCCCTGTGACTGTAGCTCTTCTCCCAGAGGTGTCAAGATAAACTGTGAGCCCCTCACACACAGCCAGCGCGCTGCGTTTGGACATCGCCTTTACGCGCTAATTGCCTCCAGTGACTCTGCGCCACCGCAGCTCGCAGGAGATGGTGAGAAGAGCAGAAAGTTTCGACTGTGTCTGCAAATGGATTCCGTTTGTATGAATAAACATCGACTCTGCAAGACTTCTCCTATTTGCATATTGAGTGAGGAAAAGCCCATTCGCCCCCTTTTTTCCGTTGCCGGCAGCAGCAGAGCAAAATTAGCTTTACAACTGAGCGCACCGCCTCTTATTACCATCATTATCAGCATCAGCATAACAGTGGCTGGAAAAGGCACGCAGCGCCTCCTGTTTTGTTGCTCTCTCGTTTGCCATTTAGGGCCAAGTCGGCAGTTTCTTTACGGCTCATTCTGGGGGGATAGCCTACATCCTGATATGAACTAATCCGGTGAAGGATGAAGATTTCAGCTCCAGAGGTGGAAAACAAGCGCGCACTGTTGATTTGATTGTTATTTTTGGCGTTGGAGATACATTTCCAGCATCTCCAAATGAGTTACCTCCTCTTAGATGTCTGCCCTTGATAGAATAACCTCACCCAGAATGCGCTCATAACGCGGGAAGCCGAAGGGAAATGCGCAATTACAAATGCAGTTTGTTTATCTAAGCGTGAGTCAGAAATAATGGAGCCTTAAAGATGCGTTTCTAGCAAATTAATAGGGGAAGGGAAGGTCCCATACAGTCAACAGGATTTGTTTTGTGAGCCTCTTTGTGCCATGTGACCTCCTGTAAACGCACAACTGGAACGAAAATGGTTGTTTGCAGTGATGCCAAAGAGGAAAAACTATTTTTAGCTTCACAAAGGACCACGTCTTTAACCGGTTCTCCAAAGGTCCCACATAGGTGTCCCAGAGAACCATCAGAGAATGGTTCCTGGCTTCCTTCTGTTACACATACTAGAAGATGTTTTAAAGACCAAAGGATTCATCAGTAACGAACATATTCTTGATCATTAAACACCACTAAGCCAAAAAAAAAAAAAAAACTCATTAAGAAGAAGAACCTGTAAGAACATGAGGAACCTTCCACTGAGAGGTTCTTTAATTCATGGTGCTGCTTTGCAGAACCCTTTAGGAACCGTTATTTTTGTGAGAGAGAACACAGCATTATTTTACAGTAATTTACCGTCATGTGGGTTCAGAACATGAACCCATGAGCATTTATTTTCCCAACAAATCTCATGCCTGTTTTATTCTCATTGTGAAGCCAAAGAGTGGAACGTATTCTGCTTGTTAGTGCAGCAAGTTCGCATGTGATGAGGAACAGGTGGTGTGTGTGTGTGTGTGTGTGTGTGTGTGTGTGTGTGTGTGTGTGTGTGTGTGTGTGTGAGACTGAAGGAGAGGCACATCTGCCAGGCTATCCATAGCTCACTCACTGGCGGAATATTCACACCTCCCCAGTCCGACCAGCAAACAGGATGCGGTCCGCTGTGAGTGCGCGCTGCGCAGTCAGACAGGCAGAATGTTTAGGTGGTGGGTGGAGGAGAGAGAGAGGGGGTGAAAGGGGGTGATACAGTTAAACAACCCGCATTTATGACCTGCATGCCGGGGCGTCTGACATGAAAAAAAGGGCAAATACACGGCGGCGCGGTGCAGTATCCATTCAGCTGCGCCATTATGCGTGATTTACAGCCGACAGCTCCCCCCTTCTCGCACACACGCACGCTCACACGCACGCCCTCCCTGCAGGCATGCCCCCACAGCAACTTTCGATAATGTGCTTTTAATGATGTCACTGTAAAAAATGCGTTGCTGCGTGTTTTCTCCGTGCCAGCAGTGTTTCATGTCAGGTTATTGCGCTCTCCTCGGAGAGCTCCCCGGACCGGAGCGGGAACGGAACCGAGGAGGGGAGCGTCCTGTCTGCTTCTAATTCTGATCGGAATCGTAACAAGATCATAAAACGCCAAGCATCCACATGCACATCCACGGTTAATCGATTTTTACTGCGCTGTAACGTTTCGTGGAGTCACAGATGAGTTCATGCTCTGTCTTATCTGCCCAACTCCTCTCAGCCCCTCTCCTTCACCCCGCACCTCTCTGAGATTTATAGTTCTATGGATCAATCCAAGAAAGTATTGTTTTTAGAAAGAAAACCATCAGTCATTAATATAAGATTCTGACCATGATACGACCCTATAAATTGAAACTCTATACAGCTGAGTGGCGTCCCGGGATCTGAGGCCACGAGATTTATCTACACTTTAAATCATTGCAAATGATCTCACTGCCATCAGAGATTATGAGCTATCAATATAAACATGTCCAGCACGCAAATCTTGTGTTTATTTCCAAGTGATAAAATGTGCATGAACAGTGTGGCTGAACTCCAAACATTGTGCGTTTTTTTTAAAAAACTTATTAGTCCGAACATTGCGTAGCACAACTCATTTAAAAAAAAAAAAAAAAAAGGTCCAAAAAAGTGGTTACAGATTTTTCTCTAATCAGAAAGGAGAGTTTTCTACTCATTTAAAAGCAGCGCAGAGCCAGCTGTTATCGAAATACGTCTCTTGTTTGGAGCATGATTTGGAACGAAAGTGAGAGTTATGTTAGTATTTGGGTGCCGATGTGCCTGAGAGCCTCTGCGTCATGTTTGACTTCTGATAAGCTGTTAGTATGACACAGACACCCAGAGACTCAGTTTACGCGCCGGAGTCGCCTCCAATACACATAAAACTGTCTTCAGCGTCCCATTGCGACTGTGCTGCTTTCTGTTAGCTCCAATAGACAAATTACTATCCAGTCTGCTAATGAATCACCGTGTGCAGCGCACAAGAAAAGCGTCGCTTATCACCCCATGATGAAGAGCAAATAGGCCATCATCGACTCCCATTACCGGGGGAGGAGGAGGGGTCGAGGCTGCTGCTGGTTTCGGGGGGCGCGCGCGTGAATCCTCACACCTGGATGGAAGTGGCTCCCTAAAGGCCACATAATGTGACACATGCATAAGAATAGCACCTTGCGCTCACACCTGTACCTGCGCTTTTGGCACAAAACCAATTCGATTTGACACTTTTTACGCGACGGTTGAGCGTAAAGGCACCGAGATTAGAGGCTCCTGCTGGTGACCAGTAGCCCGTTTGTGAACTGAGTAGGTCATAGAGGAGTTTAAATACAATACAGTGAGGGACAGAGTGTTGTTACTGGTTCTCAAAGTGGGATTTGGAGACTTTAATGGAAATAAACAGCAAAAATAAGGAGCCATACTGCAACAAACCACAGAATACAGTAAGCTTGGCAACGTCCTCATAATCATTACAATTTATTATTACTCTCCAAAATCCACAATCAATCACTCCTTTATTCCAAACATCTCAGGCGCATAATAAGCCTGACCCTTCCTGAACTCTCCATATAAATCACCCATGAGCAGCACTACAGTAATGTAAACTTGAACCGCAGAGGTTTGTTCTGGACCCCCAAGAGACCACTGTGAGGTCCTGGACTGTTACGCCATCGCTCCTTTTTTTCCTTTGTTGTTGTTGTTGTTGTTGTTTGATGGGAACATTTCCCAGATCTAAACAGGCCCTAATAAATCTCACTTGTTGTTGATGTTGTGAAGCTCCACACTGGGCTCTGTGAGATTTAAAAGATTTGAGGTTAAATAGCTTTTGGCACCTATATCCATGTTAGAGAGCCTACAAATTCAAGCAAGTCATAACAAATGGGATTTTAAGTAGAGCCGTCCAGGTAGGCTTCGAGAGGAGCCAAGAGAAACAGAGTGAGGTCTGGGCAGAGGGCTGCAGAAGGCCAGGACAAATTCGCCTTGAGGTATTTCAACTATTTTCACTTGTTTCTGTTAAGTCACTTAAGTCTCAGCTCCAAACACACTTGGAAAAATAAGAGCCGCCACCGAAGCAGACACTCACAAATTCCTTACTGTACATCATCTGGAGATCCACACTTTCTCTCCACAGGAGCGCTCACCTCGCTGGGCCTCGTGGGCGTCAGATGGACCAAGTGCAGCACTCGACAGAGCCGGCAGATTCTTCAGATCGTGTCACTGCTGCAGACAGTCAGAGCAGCATAGAGGACATAAGTCAGGACAAACAACCAAACCAGGACACCAGAGAGCATTTGGCACCAACCACCACTATGACCATAAAATCAACAAGAATGCAAGAGAAGTAGAACAAGTCCCACAACTGAGCTGAGAGCCAAATGTAGATCTAGTTAAGTCTCCACATGAGGAAGATTTGAAAACGTTAATGATAAATACAGTAAACACATGATCATGTTTTTGTTGGAACACCTGGGGGGCTCATTTCTTCACATCTGGTGATTTCTTTACCCTCTAGTTTGTCTATGAGTTGTGCTACAGTGCTTTTTCAAGTCCTCTGCCTCCTTCCATATTTTATTTCTATTTGTGGGAATCCCCCCACTTAAATCTACTCCCATGCACATGATTAAAAAGAGAAGACTTCAGCGGGTAACCATATTATTTTAGCAACTACCAAAAACAAACAGCAAAAAAAGCATTTGCAAAACTAATACTAATTAGGAGCATTTCTCTGTCTTTTACCAATCATATTTATGGGCCCACTTTGTCCCTGGAATTTCTGTTGAAAACAGCGCAATAAAAGTTTTTCTACATAATGAATCAGACGCGGGCTCGTTTCCATGTCTGTAGTGAATTGATAGGGGCGTCGATTTCCCTTTCCATCACCCACCCCCACTCCCACCCCTCACCCCCTCCCTCCGGCCGGTGGCTGCTTCAAGCTGTCAGGGAAGAGGGCTATAAAACAGAAAGAGGCTGCTGGTACTGAGGAAAGCCGCAGTTGGCTGCGTCCTGCCTTCGGAAAACTTGCGCCTGACTCAAACTCCGATGATTCACGACAGGAGGACTTGAAACCGGCGACGGCGGACGTTTGGATCTAACTTTGGACGCTTGTGTTTTCCGTCCCGGTGTGGGATCGCTGTGTGTCGGGGCTGTTTGGAGGATCTACTTTTTGGGATGCTGGCTCCCCGCGCGCTCCGCTGCTTGCTGTGCGCGCTGAGCTGCGCGTGGTGGCCGCACGCCGGAGCGGCCTCGCGGCTCAAGGCTCCCGCTCTGCCCATCCAGTCCGAGAGAGAACCGGTGCCGTCCAAAGGCCTGGCAGGTACCGCACACTGCTTCATTATTACATCCATGCTGAGCTACAGCCTGTCTGCTGGAGCTCAGAGCTGTTGTGTGAGGTTTGGTGCAGTTTGACTGAGAGGAGGCTGATAGGAGCAGCAGCAAAACTCTCCTCCACTTACTAGTTTTTATAAATGTGAGCAGTCAGGCTCGTGTTACTGTAAAGTCACTTTAATGACATGAAAGGAGCCAGTTGTTAATTCTCATTTCAACACAGCTTTCAGCTACAATCCGAGCCTCCAGACCCAGTTAACGCTGCTTTGGACTCATGAGGGCAGCAGCGAGCACTCGCTAAGAAACAGTATGAAAAGTTCAGATTTTGTTTAAATTAATGCTTTTAAAAAAATACAGTTACGCCGAATTGCAGTGAGGACGGTAATGTTAATATTACTAACAGTCAGCATATAATTTTTACGCGGTTATGCCTAAAAAAACACAAGAAGACTTTAAATTGTCAGATTTTCAAACGAAGCTTGGTTTGCTTTGCTGAATGCGCGTGCCCGCGGACAGGTTATGACCCGAGTTCAATGACCCCAAAACGTTTTCGAGCTATTTACACATAACTCTAAAAGTGACTTCTCGCACTGTAGTTTCACTCAGACCTTTTTTTATTTTATTTCTTATTTTTTTGTGGAGCTGCTCGTCAGCTCCAGGTTGCTTCATGTGTAAACTAGCGGCAAACATGTGAGTCATAACCGCAGCCGAATGCCTTTTGATTCATGTGTGAAAGCCCCTACGGTCAGAGCTCGTTGCGGTTTTTATAAGGTAACTACTCTGGAGTTCAGAAACGGTGGGAACTCCGCGTTAACCGCCGCTTTATAACGTGTAATTCAACGCTGGAAACTGTAATCAATCGACTTTCCATTACAAGCATTGGCTCCTCCGGGATGATTTATTTCTGCAGAGACACGAGTGGCAGCGGCTCACAGTTTGGCTGCTTTTAACTCGACTGGACTGCTTCAAGTATGTAGTCACTTTAATGAAAGAATAATGTGAACCAGGTTGGTAGCAGGGAGACTGAGGGGCAGACTGGGGAGCGCTAACATCCAGTTATACACCAAAAATAACCATCCTGCTGCTGCCACTCAGCGTGACTAACACTTAATTATGATTGCAGCGTGGTAATAATAACCCTAACAACTAGTTTTATCTCCTGTAACATCAATATACAGTCCAGTGCCTATATATTAGCGCGGGGATGTGTATTTTATAGCCCTGCTCCAGCTGACTGGGGTTAAAGTGAAACCGTGGCTTTAATGTGCTGACTTTCAGCTTTAGGAGAGTGTGAGGGTGTTCACAACCGCTTTGGGTAAATATTCAGGGAATTATAGGCCCTTTTTTGCCTTTGGGGATATTGTCAAAAACAGGGTTCCTCCTGTGCATCTGATGTAAACACAAAGTCAGCAGTGTAGCCTCAGTTTCACTTCAGATGTGAAGCTCTGCTGCAACAATGTGAGTATTCAGATTGAGAGTGAATCAGGACACCAGGATGGATGTGGAGATGTGGGGGGGGTTCTGTCTCAGGTGGCGATTTGCCCAAACCTGCTATGGACCCAGATGGCGACTGAAAGGAGGAGAGAGGAAAGAGGAGATGCGGGGGTAGGGATGAGAGAGGGGAGTGGGAGGATGGAGTCCACAGAACCAGACGAACAGTGCTGGATGAGTTAAGCAGGTACGAGCAGGCCCGCCAGGTACCGTGGTCCCACTGTGGCCTTGCTCCTGATTTTTAGTTAACAAGTTAACTTCATAAGTCCAAATAAAACTGTCAAATTATGTCCAGTATTCATATCGCGTAGCACTTCTAATACGTCTGTTAAATTTTAACAAGGTTTGGCCTCCGTTGTGTGTAATTCTGGGAATGTCTGATAATCCTTCTGTGGAAACTTGCCTGGTTCCCTCATGTCTGCTCATGGATCATTTAGAGGAGCCAGGATGCAAGGCTGAGTCCCAGAACTCATGAGGCGTCCAGGGAGTTTCGGTCGCCTTCAACATGCCTGGGCAGTGAGCTACGGAGGATTTATTTGTAGTTAAATATGAAAATTAGCGGTGGTCAAGTCTGTGTAGTTTGTCATCCTGCAGTGCACTCTGACACCCAATAAAAAGCCTTGGAGTTTCTCTTGCTCTTTAATACCAGCTCATATTTTAAACTGCCTCAAGTTAATTTTTCTTTAATTCTAGCATAGAATAAAATAATCGTATAATTACACTTTAGTTTTTAATTAAGGCCACATCTGGTTTGGAAACTGCCAAAGAGTTGTGATCATAGCCGCTCGGTGTTTGACCCTGAAGACAGCCACGTATAATCAACAGTGTTTGCGTTACAGGATGCTCGTTTGGAGGTCGATTTTATTCTCTGGAAGACACATGGCACCCAGACCTGGGGGAGCCCTTCGGTGTCATGCACTGTGTCCAGTGCTACTGCGAATCCGTAAGTCTTTCTACTCCGCTCACGTCACGTTCGCTCAGCAGCCAAATGTGGCCTCATGTGTCCGACTAATACGTCTGGTGTTTCTCTGGCAGCAAAAGAGCCGTCGTGGGAAGGTGTTTGGGAAGGTGAACTGCAAGAACATCAAGCAGGACTGTCCAGACCCGGACTGTGCTGATCCCATCCTGCTGCCGGGACACTGCTGTAAAACCTGTCCTAAAGGTAATCAACCAGGTTTCCCACATCTGTGTCTTTATTTTAAAACTTGTTGTCCAAAATGCAGTTTTCTTTACCCTGTTCAGGACTTTCATGTTCAGGTCTTTCAGGGTCCGTCGGGCCCCAAGACAGAATATGTGCCAAATATCTGCTGGTATTGATTAAAGACTTTTATACGATATTAAATACATTTTCTGATAAGTTGACGTATTTTTGGTTCCAAATGCAGGACAAATGTCCTTCGATTTATATTTAAAAACTCTTCTTCAAAAATAAAGAAACGATAGCTGTCACCTGAACCAAATGGCCTGAACAGGGTTCAATGCACAAGAAATAGTCAAAAAAAAACAAAGAAGCACAGCGTAGCTCATGAAACCTCGCGGGGAAAAGCAGAACTGAATCGCTCTTTGTTCTTTCCCTCCTTTTCTCGCATCACTGACTTTCTTCCCTTCTGTTTTTGTTGATTCTTGGTTTGATTCATACTTCTCCTCCCTTTCTTCTTCTTCTTCTCCTTCCTCCCCATCTTCTTCATTCCCCCGTCGTACTCCCACGTCTTTAGTTTTGTCTTTCCCCCCCCTGGGTCGACTAGATAGCCTTCAGAACAGCTGTTGGACACAATGAGCGAGTCAATTGATTTTCCATTCGGCCGCATCAAATGGACGTTTTCTCTGAGCGCCACCCGTCTATGTAGCCTCGTTCACGCGTAGCCACTTACCTTGTCTACACACTGCTGCGCACACAATTTCACCTTATTAGGGAGTTAGAGCTCCCCTGCACATGCTCACACACACACACACACACACACACACACACACACACACAGGGTGGGTCTTCATGCCGCTCTGTTATTCAGCAGATTGGCTGTTTTTCTATGCTGTGTGTCTGGTAATGGAATGGAAAGTAAAGGTAAAGCACTGTGGGGAAAGCACTATGCTGTATGTGTGTGTGTGTGTGTGTGTGTGTGTGTGTGTGTGTGTGTCAAGAATTGGACAGGCCTGTGACTGTGTGTGTGTGTGTGTGTGCGCTGTGGTCAAGTTTTAAGGAAAAGGTTGAGTGTGTTTGTCTTAGCTTTGGCACCCTTGCACCTAGTATGTTTGTGTAAGTGACGGAAAATGGTGTGTGTTTGCGTGTTTATGTGTGTGTGTGTGTGTGTGTGTGTGTGTAGGGGTGTGTGTGTGTGTGTGTGTGTGTAATGACTAGTGCACCTGAGGATACAGTATTGCTAAGTGGGGAGAAGTGAGAGTGACACTACCCAGAAGCCCTCGAGCGTGCCCAGTGGAGCAGAGGAATGAGGGAGGAATGATGAGATTTGAGATTTTTTTTTTTCGGACGCAAAGAAAGAAAGCAGACGGTCCAGCTGAGCTCCTCAGAAAGCAGCGCTCGGGTGACTAAGAGCCAGCGTGTGCTTTTCTTTCTCAACAACATGTCAGTGGAGCTGGATTTGGCTGAATGAGCGGCGCTGCACGTCTCGCTGTGCATGTTGTTTAGTGTGTGTGTGTGTGTGTGTGTGTGTGTGTGTGTGTGTGTGTGTGTGTGAGGGACTCATTACATCAGGAGCAGTTTGTGAGGAACAGCGGGTCATTGTTAGGATCGCACGCCAGCGTCACTCCCAATCCTCCTTAAGCTCATCAGCTGCAAAACTACCCTGGTTAGTTACCCCGAGAGGGGCAGAAAGAGGGAGAAATGAGAGAGGAGCTTTTAGCTTCCAGCACTGGACTGAAATCGGTGACTCTGTGTCGTTCTTTCTTCCCGTCTTTGGTCATTCCTCTGATTTTTTTTGCTCGTCTTGGTCAGCCTCAGTTTGCCTGATCACAAATCCATCCGTCCATTATTTATCATTCAGTCCCACAAACTTCAGGCTCTCACAGCACAACAGCCAGTGCTTGAGTTTCCATCGTGCACCAGACTTTTCAGATTATAGCAGAATGTGTTTTGAAATATTCAGGTTCATGTGTTTTGCATTACCAGGTGCTGACAAAGTGTCAAAGGCAGATACTAAAGTCTTTTTTTAGTCATAATAACTGTTATTGCTGCAGGGTTCCTTCCAGATGACAATAATGAAACAGATCAATCAGAACATGTGACGGCCAGCGTCAGTGTACGCTCACTGTGTACTGAGTATTAACATTTCTGGAGTCATAGTCATTTTAAAGCAACCTGCAGGTGTTCAGCAGGTATCTCAACTTCTTTAACTCTTTTTTTCTTTTGCAGGTTCAGGTGACAAAAAACAGACCGACTCTGTGCTCGACAGCTTCGAGTATTTCCACGAGAAGGGCAAAGAGAAGGAGGACGACCTGCACAAGTCTTACAACGACCGATCCTACCTGAGCTCTGACGACGTGGGCCCTGGGGAGAGCCGGACCGGTAAGTTCTGACCACCCAGAGACAGAGCCACGTAATGCGGAGCTTGTTAGACGTAAATATGACCACGAGAGTAAAGTATTCAGGGCTCGTGAAGCTTCACACTCATGCCTCTTCCATGCACAGGTTAACAAGAACACTCGGCCTTTTCTCTCCTCCTGCAGACTTTGTAGCGGTGCTGACAGGAGTGACGGGCTCGTGGCTGCCCAGCCCGAGCGGGGTTGCCAGAGTTCGCTTTGTTCTGACCAAAAACAGCCTCGCCTTCTCCATCACATACCAAAGGTAGAACACTCAGAGTATCACACCCAGAATCTACTTTTTATTTCTATTTTTTGTAGCTGTGCTCTGTGAAGGTGTCACTCTTCTTTCTTTGTGATCAGCTGCAGTAACATCAGTGCTTATGCTAACGCTTCCAGCTCATCTCCTGTTTATCCCAAACAAACTTGGGAGTGTTTAGAGATTTTTCTGTTGTGTAACCATTATTTAGTCGTGACAATCAGCAGAGTGGGAGAAAAAAAAATGTTATGACTATAAAATACAGTGGAAAATATTCAATATTTGTCCCTTTTTTAAATTCTTGCATCTCCCCCTCACTTTGCAGGATGGGTCGTCCCAGTAAAATCGTCTTCCTGGACTCAGATGGGACCAATGCGTTTGAGTACAGAGTCCCCAAGGGCCAGTCAGACATGGTAAGACACTAGAAGAACAGAAAATCACCTCCTCTTGCTTCCGTTTGAATTGTTTTGGTTACATGTGTGTGTTTCCTGAGAGAGAAATTAAGTACCAGCATGATGAATGCTCTCAGCCCATGACTCTGTGCTCAAACTCTGACTTCTTCTCCCATAACTCACTCTGCAATAATAAACGGTAAACACACACACACACACACACACACACACACACACACACACACACACACACACACACACACACACACTGACACTTCCTCTCCGGTTCCAAACATCTCAGTCAGTGCAGTCACTCACTCACGGACACCAAACACCACCATCAGGTTGGAGGTGTTTAATAAAAGCCTAATGTTATCCAGATAAATCAGTAAACCGATATGCTGGTGTAACAGTAGTGACCACGCATACGTGTACACACACTCCCTCAGGCCTGACACTATCACTACACACCACATCCTGCCAAAACACACACAGCTCCATGTTCTATTTCAGACGTGAACTCAGCAAGGAAGGCAGGAGCCCCCCGAATACGAGTCCTAGAAATTGGCCTGTTGTTATTTTTTAGATAAATGTCAGCGTCAAGCACCAGAGGACCTTAGAGAAAACACTCTGGCACAAAAAAATGAAGAAGGAGGAGGTTTGCTGGAGCAAAACTTTTGCAAAGAGAGAATTTTTCACATGTTACATCACTGCTTAGCAGGGGGACAGAGAGTATCGCTAATTAAAACGGAGATTACCCCTGAACTCTGAGTTATGAGGTGCCGGCACTCTGCCACATTTCTTCCCTCCGCTCTCAGCGAGAAGCTGTGGTTTTATGTTGAAGCTTTGCAGCCTGGGGTTGAGAGTACAATCACATAGTTTGATGTGTTTAGCAGATGTGCATGTGTTGTCTGTGTCTGTCTGGATGTGTGGTTGTCTGTTTGCCTAAATGTGCTTTCATGAGAGCAAGTCATACAAAACGCGACTGATATTCTGGGTTTCATGTTCATGTACGATTTCATCTTTACTGCCGTATCACAGCAGCGTACCTATTCATCTGTGTGTGTGTGTGTGTAGATCTGTGGCGTGTGGAAGAACATGGCTAAGCCTCTCCTGCGACAGCTGCAGTCTGAGCAGATGAGGATCAGCATGACCACATCGAGCAGCAGACGAGAAGAAGTGGAGGGAAAGATCATCAAACACAGGGCGCTGTTTGCTGGTGTGTAGATATGATCTGTGTGTTCTCGTGGCTCGTTTTTGATAATGTTGCTGTAGACAAGTGCGTGCCTTTGTCTTTGCGCTTTAGTACACAGTAAACTCACTGTTTACAAAGCAGCGGGACTGTATATCTTCTCATGTAAGCTTTGTGTGGATTAATGTGTGGGCTTTGTGTACAGTATATGTAAGAGGATGCAAATGCTAACGTGCATGTGTCTTGTGCACAGAGACATTCAGTTCAATGCTGACGTCAGAGGAGGAGAACTCAGGCATGGGAGGCATCGCCATGCTGACCCTGAGTGACACTGAGAACAACCTCCACTTCATCCTCATCCTGCAAGGCCTCATCAAGCACAAAGGCAAAGGTGAGAGGGGAGGGCCGAGAAAACAAACAGAGAGCAACGCTAACGGTGTATGGGAAGGCAGCAAATGAAGGTTTAAGTTCACTCAGTTAATCATTCCTGGAAGAATAAAAGTTCAACAAAAGCTCTGTCATTTTCTGGGAACCAGTTTCTACACATCCTCCTGCTTCAAAGAGGAAACCTCCCCAAATTAGAGAACATCAAGGAGTGACCTCAAGAAAATTGTCTCTTTTTCCTCAGATCCCCTCTTGGTGCCCATCCGAGTCCAACTGGTGTACCGCCAACACATCCTGAGAGAGATCCGAGCCAACATCACCTCTCATGTGAGTAACAGCGCACATTAACCCAAAACCAAAACCAGCCCCAAACCTGCCGACGGGCCTGAGAAGCATCTTATGTTTTTATAATCCCCAAAATTGCACCATTTATCATAGAGAGGCTGCAAAAATGCACATTCCGACGCCTCTTGAGCTAATCGTGTGTGGTGTGCAGCTCTGTTGGGAAACTTGACTGAATCTAAGCTTGAAGTTATGATATTTCATCAAAACCGCTTCATTCTTTGTGTCTCGTTTAAAAAATTAACAAAAAAATGAGTTGCTGGCCCTAAACAGATCCCATGAAATTCTACATTTATTGAACAAATACACATTAAACTTTCTTTTTGTATGATTTATGGCGTCATAACCTGCACCAAAACTAGCCGTGGCGGTTTTGCTTCCACGGAGGTGCAAGACTTTAGATTGCAGTGAAAATGGACCCACAGAACCTCGGATCTGTTTGGGGTTCAGAGAGTCAACAAAATAGACATTTTTAGTATTTCTGGATATTGTTTGGGAAAAAAACAACATTACCACCGAGTGCTATAAGCAGGAGGTTTTAGTGTCGTCTGGGTCGGAGTTAAGGGGGTGACTGGAGGAGGAGCCCAGTTGTTTTCAGTTGGAAACACATGACACAGCAACACACTCCTGCACCCCCTGGTTGCAGACGGATGTGGTTTTGTCGCCACATCCTACCAATGTCGCCGCCGCCGCCGCCGCTCTGATCACAGCTAACTACCCTGAGACATGACAAGAAAAATGGATGGAGAGAGGAAGAGTGAGGAGACAACAAAAGAGGAGAGAAAGTGCGAGAGCGAGGCTTTCGCAGGAGGCAGATGTGAGCGAGGGATGAGACGCAGAGCAACGAGGGGAGAAGAGGATGCACTGCGTACACACTCCTCACACATGTCAGTGGTTAGTGGTCTGTGGGCTGAGATGGATGGAGGGAGGAAGGAGGGAGGAGGAGGAGGAGGAGGAGTGATGAAAGGCGGGTCTGGTTTTAATTCTGCCAGGAATTGCGTGAAGGCCCGATGCGCCTCTTTCGAGCCTAGCGGTGAGCGAGATCGTCCGTGAAAAAGTATGCGCCAAGTTTGAGCTGCAACGCGGCTCGTCAGGCTGCCCTCGAGCCGCGTGTTGAAACCCAATCTGCTGACTCACTGTAAGTAAAAAGACGCGTATAAACAACAGCGTGTATAATTTCATTGTTGTGCTCTAAATACGCAGCTAGACGAGCAGCGCGTCCCCGGTGCAGTACATCCCTCTGTGCTTCCCTTCCTTCTCATTATTCTGTCCATTCATTTTCCCAAATTAAAGTCACCTTCCTTCTGTCCAGCCCCCGCTCTGCTCTGGCTCCTCGCTCTGTGGATTTATGGTACATGTATATTTATATTGAACGAAGGCCCCGAAGTCATAAAAGTAGCATTTCTTCAACACGCTCGTACATCTGTCCTATTAATCCAGCATTTCTCAGCGTCTTTCTGGAGTCCAGTCGGCCTGCCTGCTCGAAATTAAACCTCGCTCAGTATGAAACGTGTTAAGGCAATGCGACCCATGTTTTTTGCCGCGGGTCTGTGTAGCCGAACTGTTTACGTCCCTTAATGGTTTCTGATTTTGTGACTGCTGTATTTATTTTACGCTGAGGACATTTCACTGTCCTGGGATCTGTTTTGCTGGCTGTGTGCTCAGCTCATCCTTTGGTTAGTATAAACTGTAGGAAAATGCTCCTCTCAGTTGGACTCTACTCACCAGCCTGTGTTTCATCTAAATAAGTTGGGATTTGGTTACTCCGGTAACATGTCAGTGTTGTACCAACATCATGTCAACGGGATCTAAACGGTGTCATGTGACGTTCTCAGCGCTGGTATTGAAAACGTTCTTGTTTACAGTGGGGTATGGTTTTATATTTATCCATGTGCTGACCCACACATATTGTCTCGGTCTTGTTCTAACTGTTTCAATCTGTGCAGGATCCAGACTTTGCCGAGGTGCTGACAGACCTGAACAGCCGCGAACTGTTCTGGTTATCTCGAGGTCAGCTGGAAATCACTGTGGCAACGGAGGGTCCGGATCCCAGACAGATCTCTGGCTTCATCACCGGCAGAAAGTCCTGTGACAGTAAGTGCTCCTGCAATCACGCTGGTGAAATAAAAATGTTCTTCCACAGGCGACTCGGAGGCAACAAACACCGAGGCGGCTGAGAATGTGTTTTGTGTCGTAGCTGGTTTGCGCTCGTCCATCTGTGACTGTTTTTGTCGTTCTCTTCTATAAATACTCTTTCTTTCTGTCTCCATTCTTTCAAGTCTTATCGCTGGGGGAAAACCATGTTTATAGACCTTCTGTTTGACTTGGTGGCCCACCAACACTGTGTATGCATGTGTGTGTGTTTGTGTGTGAGAGACAGAAAGAGGTTTGAGGAATGCTGTGGACAGCCCGCTCGTCTGAAACGGTTAAAGCGTGCACACATGGGCTTTCCACAGGACGCATAGCTGAACACGAGCGTTCGACGTCAATGCCGCCGGCGCTTTGAGAGTTACTCACACACGCGCAAGAATATTAATGCAAATATGCGTAAAGATGCTTGTTTTTAAAATGTTTACACGCTCTCTCTCTCTCTCTCTCACGCTGGCGCTGCCAAGGTCACAGTCTGCTGGACCTGACTCTCCATGCCGGTGTTCCAGTGCTGTGATTAACAGCTTGACGTTATGTGTGAAGAATTCAAACCCAACACACTCCTTTCCCCTTTTCTTTCCTCCTCCTCCTCCTCCTCCTCCTCCTCTGAGTCTCTCCCTTCAGGTCTCGATCCCATCACCGGCTGTCCTCTTTGTGCAGCTTTAGCGTCACTCCTCCGTTCTGGCTTTTTCTCCGTGTCATTTCTCTGATTTTTTTCTGAACAATTTAGTCATCTTTCTCTGTTACTCATTCTCTCCTGTCCTCTCAGCTCAATCTTTTTAAGCCTGCTGCATTCAGCAAGGGTTACCTCATGCTAAGGCTTAACCTTGGGTGGGTTGTTGTGTGTGTGTGTGTGTGTGTGTGTGTGTGTGTGCAGCTATATGTATGTTTTCGGGCCAAGGTCTCACACACAATTACACGAGCGGACACGCCTCCTGATTAGTGGTTCAATTGAATCTGTCTCCTCAATGCCTCCTTCCTTTTGAAGGGATGACATTATGGGATGTGGTTTCGATGTATGTGCGGCTACACAGCATGAGGGAATGTAACGTGCCCCTTTCCTCTCCCCTCCGTCAACGCAGCAGAAAATCCGAACATGACAGAAATCATTGCCTCATCTCGCATGCTGTCAGGCTGCACTATGGTTTAAGGGGGGGAGGTCCAGAGGGAGAGGTGATGGTTTTAGATAAGTAATGTGAGCAGGAAAGTGGATTTTTGATATGAATCTGTGTTTGTTTGGCTCAGCTATCCAGAGCGTGATGTCCAGCGGCGACGCGTTGACTCCGGGGAAGACGGGAGGCGTGGGATCGGCTGTGTTCAGCCTCCACGATAACGGAACGCTGGACTACCAGGTAGGATCTGGTCCTGCTCACAGGAGATTAGTTTTACCTGATGTCCTATTTTTATTTTCCACCAAGCATTTATTGAGAGCAGCAGAGGTTCAGCTTATGTTGCTGTTGAGACGTGTTTTGGGTCACACCTGGTCAGGTTGATGATAAAGACATCCATCCATCCATCCATCCATCCATCCATCATCTCTACACCTTAATCCTCACCAGGGTCATGGGGGGCTGGAGTCTATCCCAGCTGACTCAGGGTGAAGGCAGGTTCACCTGGACAGGTAACCAGTCTATCACAGGGCTACACTTAGAGACAGACAACCAAGCACACTCACATTCACACCTACGGACAATTTACAATCACCAATTAACCTCAGCATGTTTCTGGACTGTGGGAGGAAGCCGGAGAACCCGGAGAGAACCCACGCTGCACGGGGAGAACATGGAGACTCCACGCAGAGTTCATTTGCAAAAACAGAAAATTCCATTTTTGTAGATTTTCAGAAAACTTATTTTCTTGTTGTTTGCTTGAGATAATATGAATCAGACTGAAGCTGAGTGGATCTGACTCAGTAGAAAAGACGAGTAGAGATAACTGAAGTTTGGTTGGTGTTGTCTCAGGTAGACGATGGAACAGTGGGTCGTCTGAAGGTTTGTGAACAAGGAGGTATGACGGGAAATCCTTAAAATAGCCGTGCTTCCATGATGTATGTTTACTCCCAATTTGAAGTGAGGCATTAGAATAAGGTGATAAAAACAGCACAGTTTGACAAAAACAAGTTAATGTGCTTCATGGAAAAACTATTTTCCAACAAGTTCAGATGTAGTGAGCATTTAACTGATTGGCTGGTTCTGGTTCTTCTGTCTTCACCTCTGGACAGCACCAAACATGTCCAGTGTAATCATTCTATAATCTCCTGACTGAAAACAAGGCTTCCCTTCATTTTTCTTTTTAGGTCGCCAAGGTTTTGTCTCTATTTTCTCGTTCTGTGAGGGTTTTTTTTAGCGGTTGACAAACAACTGGTTCTGCTTTCAGCTCCTTCGGCTGCACTGCGCTCATCTCACGACACCACAGAGAAAACTTTATTTGTTCCAAAGCAACTCTGGAAACAAGCCTAATTCACTCTGCTGGTTTTTAAAGCAACATTTCAAAAAGTTTCCTTTAGATTATGGCTCATGCTGCTGTGTTTTCTAGATGATCCTCTTTAAAAAATGTGATTAAAATGATCAGACAATGTGAAGCCAGGCCACAGCACGTTAAACTCATTAATGGTGCACGTTCCCATTTCTGCTGCTGTCAGACCAAACTGGTCCAGAATCAGACTGAACCACAACAAACCAGTGAATGGAGATAATATTCAGAGCTTATTTTAAGACGTTCTGTACAAAAACTAACCTTTTATTAGTCGTCTGCCATCACCTATAGATGTTCAGTTATCTAGTTAACCCTCTGGACCATTCAGTCCTTCTGCTGAGGCCTCAACACTCTTAACATAGATATACAGCATGTGTGTGTAAATTCAGAACAACATGTGACGTTTGAATATGTGTGCTCAACAAATCAACAAAACAAATGATAATAGTAATAATAAAAGTTTATTACTTACACATTACTAACATCTGGGGGTTTTTTGTGTTAGTTTTTTTTTATAACTGCAAAAAATGAAAAACAGACAGAAACATTTAAATCTAAATTTAAAGTCCATATTACACACAAAAAAATACTATTTTTGTCAGAGCTATAAATACTCCATTTGTTGTGTTTTTTCACCTGCTGCCAAGTTAGAAGCAAAATAGGAAAATGTCTTCATGACGCACAGTAAACTCCAGACAGCTGTCTTGCCACCTTATGTGCTCTCTGAAGGTTGATTCTGTGCTGCAGTAGATTTCTAAATGCTCAGAACACAGCAAAGATCTCTTTCTGTAGCTCAGTGATGCGTAAAGATCAGCAATACGGCGTTCTGCAAAGGTACAGTCCTCCTCTAATCTGTTCATCCCCTTACATTAAAGAAAAGGCAAAACTCACAACAGTCACTCAAATAACTAGAAACTGGAAAAAGTAATAATAAATACAAATTTGATAAATTATAATTTAGTGAAATAAGACGTTGCTTTTGAATTGTGGTCGAAAAGAATAATTAAAAAAAATAATAAACTGTCCCAGACCAATGAGAGGCCTTTGCTGATGAGCAGTGGTCCAGAACACCTGTCAACAGGTGCACAAGTCTGACTGAGAGTTACAGGAAACACCTGATGGCAGTGATTGGCTCAGAGGGTTGTTCAGCTTAATGTTAGTTCACGGGTCCCATTGTGCTGTTTTTTTTGTTTGTTGTTGTTTGTTTGTTTTTTAAAATATTTCTGTTGAACCACAATTCAAAAGCAACGTCATGATTTTCATTAATTTTTTATTTATTATTACTTCTGTCAGTTCCATCTTATTCCAGCTGTTTGTTTGCCTCTTTACTGGGAGGCTGTGAACACATGTGAGGACGACTGCAGCTGATGCTCAGTTCACTACCTAAGCTCAAGAGTCGTCTTGTCTGCCAGCAGCGTCATTTACCGTAATAGTGAAGAACTGTTTGTTCAGTAGGCCGTGAAATGGAGGATAAAACATCAAATTATCTGTTTAATTATTTTGGATTTCAGTGATATACTGCTAAGCCCCTGGATGGGATATATGAACATGAATCGGCTCATTGTGCCGCCTGAAATGCACACGGCAGGACAGTTTCTAAAGCAAGTCGCTACAGGCATCTGTCACAGAGCTAATAATATAAGTATGAAGAGAGAGTGCTGTTGCAATCATGGATGACTGATGCAGCCCCAGAGAGTTAAATAAATCTTATAATTGCTGTGTGACTTAGTCAGATTCATAATAAATCACAGTGGAACAATGGTACGTACACGTTGTCTGCACGCTTTAAAGCAACACGAAGCAAGAAACCCATCAGTAGGAGGACTCTAACCACTTCTGCCTCCTCCAGGTTCAGGTCGCAGGTCTCTCCAGCGATGTCGTCGGCCTCACCATCGAGCTGAAGCCTCGGCGGCGAAACAAGCGCTCCGTCCTCTACGACCTGACGCCAGAATACAGCAAGAGCACAGGGCAGGCGGTGGGCAGCTGGAGCCGCCTGGAGGCCCGACACATCCACATGCTGCTGCAGAACGAACTCTTCATCAATGTGGCCACGGCGCACAGCCAGGAGGGGGAGCTGAGGGGGCAGATCAAGGCCCTAATGTACAGTGGGCTGGACGCACCCAGACATGGTAGGCATCGATGGAGGGAGGTCACAGAATATATCAAAATACACCAAACTGCTTGTGTAGGGATCAATCCGTCTCATTCCACTTCCTCCAGAGCTGCCCACGCCTCTCGCCGGCCACTTCGTGTCACCGCCTGTCAGAACCGGAGCCTCTGGCCACGCCTGGGTGTCGGTGGACAAACAGTGTCACCTGCATTACGAGATCGTTGTCGCAGGCCTCAGCAAGAGCGATGACCTCACGGTTAACGCCCACCTCCACGGCCTGGCCGAGATCGGAGAGCTGGACGACAGCAGCACCCCGCACAAGAGGCTGCTGACCGGCTTCTACGGCTCACAGGTACACCGCAGATACAAGATGTCCACACTCAGTCAGTCAGTCAGTCAATCAATCAATCAATCAATCAATCAATCGACCTAGTGCCATGCCGTTCAGCGTAGGCGGTCATTTCTCTCCATCCAGTCCGATCTTTTGCTTTGTGAACTGTGACGTCTATCGTTGTCATTCTGTCTGCCTCGTCCTCTCCTCCATTCATTTCTCCAGTTGTGATGACATCTTCCAGGGTCTCTCTCCTGATGATGTGTCCAAAAACCGTTGTTTGCTGTTTCCTAGTTTAGTTCAATATAATTAGAGTTTAGTAATTTAAAAACATCTCCATTGCTTATGTGTCCATATTCGTAGCATGCGTCTGTAAAACCAGGTCTCTGCTGCAGAGATTTTATCATTTAAGTTCCCAGATTCACATCAGACCTGGTGGACTGAACCAGCTGGGGGCTCTCATACGGATGCTAGCTGCTATTTTCTTATTTGTCTTATTGCTTCTCCTTCAGGCTCAGGGGGTGCTGAAGGACATCAGTGCTGAATTACTGCAACACCTGGACCAGGGAACAGCTTTCATCCAGGTCAGCACCAAGATGAACCCTCGAGGAGAAATACGAGGACGGGTAAGCAACGAAAACACTTCTGGGTTCTGCTTTTAGAAACATCTACAGATCTTTATAATATGTGCCAGAACTAAACGGATATATTGTAGGGATTCAAACAGAGTAAAGTGGGTTCACCTGGCTGAGAGAGCTCAGAGTTAGAAAATGATGAATCTGAGTAGCATCACTGCAAAATAATAGTAAACAGAATCTGAAGCCCAGATGTATGTCCACTGAGAAAAGGCTGAAGCATGACAGTGACTCTCCTGATGTCTTGACAACCACACAGTTAAATACTAAGACGCAGGGAAGCTGGCTGCCTGCCTGAAAACTGGCCTCTAAACATCCAGGCTATAAAGATAATTAGACAATTCACTCCTTAAATTGTTGAAAATTGCAGAAATTATCCGTGTTTGGATAGATTTTTGGCTGTCAACACAAGAATTACAGAAATCTGAGATGTCAGGGCCAGATTTATTTCTTCTAGTCGGTAATTACATCAGAGACAGAAACGAGTCCTCGGGGCTTCTTTTTACCGTCCGAGTGTTTACGTGTCGGTGTGATTGTTCATTTAGCGCTCGCTAGCCCACACAAACACACATTTTCACTGGCAGGTGTTGTCTGCCTGGAGAGACTCTAATGAAAAGTGGATTTTATGAGGGTTCAGAGACACACAAACGCAGACCGCAGTCGCCCACAGACGTAGCTGCAGCGCTGCAGGTGTAGCGCTTGATGAGTTCTCGCGGACTGCCAGGTACTAACGGGGAACGCGATGACACACTTACACGCTCACAACAGGAGGATCAAGCTGCTTTAATAGAAAACAGGTCCAGCACATAAACAGCCATCTGCTCGGGTGCACAGAAACCCTCCGTTTAGGAGCACTTAACGAGTCGACTCGACACCAGTCTCCAGTTAGGTGCGGCCAACAAATCTCCTATGTCCTAACCTTCTCCTTTCTCTTGTCTCTGCCCATTTTTCACTTCGTCCTTTTATCACGACACGTTTCATCCACCCTCTCATACCTTCCACCCCCATCTATCACTTTCCCGTCTTTCCCCACACATTTCCTCCCTCCAGGTCCATGTGCCGAACAACTGTGAGCTGGGAACCAAGGCGGACACGGAGGAGGTCGAGTTTGATGATGTTTTTCTAAAGGACCCCGAGGAGCTGAAGAAAGACCCCCACACCTGCTTCTTTGAGAACCAGCACCACGCTCACGGCTCCCGCTGGACGCCCAACTACGACAAGTGTTTCTCCTGCAGCTGCCAGGTACGAAGAACAAACACAGAGGCAGGAGTGAAACGGGCCTGCTGATGGTTTCATTAACGTGGCTGCTTGTTCTGCGCTGGAGTGTTAAAGCATTTAAAGAGAAGCTGGAAAACACATTTATCTGAGTCCATGTGAAGGCTGTTGTAGAACTAATAAAACTTTTTGGTGTGTTTTTGTTCTGCAGAAGCGGACGGTGATCTGTGATCCAGTCATCTGTCCAGCGTTGACCTGCTCCAGAACCATTCAGCCCGATGACAAGTGCTGCCCAGTTTGTGATGGTAAGACAGAGATTTGCTTCTATGTATGTTTAATATCAGGTTTATACTGGATCCAGTGATCTGAGTCTCTGGTTTGTTTTGGGTAAAGTCCCACAGTGATCATAAAGCCTGAAGCTAATTCTGTTTGTGTGCATCCTGAACAGACAGACGGGATCCCAAGGACATGAAAGCTCCAGAGAGGGTGGAGGAGCATCCTGAAGGTAGCTCTGATTCAGCTTCTTTTTCTCCTGTTTTAACTGATTGTCTTTCTGCATGTCTCCGTGCTGGAGTTGATCCACTACCTTTGAGGAGTGTGCACACAGGGAGAAGTTCGCCGTGGATCATTCAGGGGTTTTCTCACCGACTGTCATCACTAACCTTCTTCTCTCGTCGGCGTCTTTCTCAGGTTGTTACTTTGAAGGAGACCAGAAGATGCACGCCCCAGGAACCACATGGCATCCCTTTGTTCCTCCCTTTGGCTATATTAAATGTGCTGTCTGCACTTGCAAGGTAAATATACATCAATAAACCCACTCACATCTGGCTGGATTTACTTTCCAAAGGCTCTTAATGGATCATTTCGTTTGTATTAGACTCCAAAGCAGCTGAGCCGTAAATACATTTCTCATCAGTTCTTTTTTTGGGGGAATGTTCAAACTATTTATGTGGAAAAAGCAACGAGGTAGCTACGCTTTGCGCTGGAAAGAAGAAGAGCTGCTGCTGACCTGCTGGTAATGCTGTGCTGTGTCCACAGGGGTCCACGGGGGAGGTTCACTGTGAGAAGGTGACGTGTCCAGCGTTGACCTGCAGTCAGCCGGTGAGGCGCAATCCGTCCGACTGCTGCAAGGAGTGTCCGGAGGAGGACAGGACCCCGGCTGGAGTGGAGCACGGCGACATGATGCAAGCAGATGGCCCGAGACACTGCAAATTTGGAAAGAACTATTACCAGAACAGTGACAGCTGGCATCCCTGGGTGCCGCTGGTGGGCGAGATGAAGTGCATCAACTGCTGGTGTGATGTAAGTGATGCCAAGAAACACGACCCAATGAGCCAAGTCGGTTCTGTTACACACAGGCAAAGTTGTTGTTCCACTAAGATGAAGTAGTTTTACTACGACAAGGATATTTTACAATAAGTTGAATTAAAGACGTTAATAATAGTTCAAAGTAAATTCTCTCAGTAAGACAGAAAACAAGTGGTTTTAATCCAGTTAAGCTCCAAAAATACTCTGATCACTATTTTATCATCAGCAATGGGCCAAATAACTGTTCTGTAGGACTGCAACGTGGACCGGTTGGTCAGCTGGCCATCCGTCATTTATGTCAGTGGTTCTCAAACTGGGGGTCCAGACCCCCATGGGGGTCCCAAGATAATTCAGGGGGTCGCCAGATCATTGTAAAAAAAAATAAAAAAATAAGCCTACATTCATCAAATAAATGTGTATCAGGGCTGTCAGAGTTAAAAGTGTAAACTTCTTCCCACTCCTTTTTAAACTATTATAATTTGATTATGCAACGTTATTATTCTTTTTTTTGCTGTTTTTAAAATAATTTTCTTTTGTTTTTATAATTTTTTTCCTCTTTCTTTGGTTTGAAATAAATTCAATTCATTCATTCAAAGCAAAATGAACGTGTTCATGTACAGAGATCAATCTGTGGAATTAATCTTTAACTCATTAATGCACAAACAACACAGTTATGACTTATGATGTATTAATTATTAATGATTCTAACTGGGGGTCACGAACACAAACTGATGTTATCTTGGGAGTCGTGGCTCAAACAGTTTGAGAACCTCTGATTTATGTCGCTGCCAAATGGAGAAAAGCGGTACGTCGACAGCCCAGTATTTTTGGTAGAACCCGTTGGACCCGGTCCAAGCTGACGGACGGCGCTGGGTCTGACTTATTTAACGGTTCCTCTGAGTCAGCTCCACACTGACTCCATGTCACAGAACGTTGAGCGTGAACTTTGCAGAACTGGAGGACTGATTGTCAGGGCTGATATTCCTCAACAGTTCTGGTGCTGTGATCACCAGGTGGGTTTTTATCTACACAAATCATCTGAATACGTGCAGCTGATCGGCTCCGAGTCAGCATAAAATAATCAGCCTCAGTGGATTTAACTTGCTGCAAATGCTGACTTTACATGTTTATTTAGAAATAAATTTCGACGGCTACGGCTCACAGGTGGTGCGTTGAGTTCATCCACAGATGACATTCAGGTTTTTTCTCTGTGACCAATGGAAGCTCGCTGTGATTTCAGCTGAACGAGATTTTCTTTGGTTCACTTCAGTCCTTGTCATAAGAAGCGGGTCACTTCAATAACAAACAGTGAGTCCACAGTCACTTGGTTCTGCTTTTTGCTTCAGTGCTGTGGAGCCTTTCAGTGACTTCCTGCTCATTGTTTTGGATTTAGTTTTTTGGTGGGGGTTCTCATAAACCCACTACCGACCCAGTACATCTGACAGAACACAATGGTTTAGCTCAACAGCCACATACGTTTCCTTAGGAGGTGGTGGAGACCAAACGAAAGCAACAAGGAGAGTGAGTTTTTTATTATGAATGAATAGAAAGCCCCGTCCCAAATGCCGTGTTTTACCAGCTAGCGTGGTCGTTGTGTTGTTTAACTTATCAACAGGAGCGTATGACTTCCAGCGTTCCTGGTCGGCTGCTTTCCAACCACACTCGTGGCCTTGTAATCGTTCCCACTTCTTCTTGACATTTTGTCTTCCGTTAACTGGCACGGTGAACCGAAGCGTGTTGAGCTGACAGAGCAGTTGGCTGTTAGCCTACGTTTCTAGCACACGTTGATGGCCAGTGTTGTGTGTGCTGGTATAATATGATGAACATGGATCTCCACCTGTACCTGTTTGCAGTCACCATAACCATCTCCCTCCTTTTCTCCTCCACAGCACGGCGTGACCAAGTGTCAGAGGAAGCAATGTCCAGTACTGACCTGCTCCAACATCACCCGCACAGATGGCTCGTGCTGCCCCGAATGTGTTGGTGAGCAATGAACTGACAGATCTGGACGCTCCACGAGGCGCCGTCCACCTCTGATACGAGACAGATTCCTCTTTAAATGATCGACGCTCTGCACAAATCTGCAGAGATCTCGTCAATGCAGCCACTCAGAATGTTGCCTTTGGTTGCTGCTAATGCGGTTAACAGTTCTGGCTTTGACTGGAGAGTTTTCCTGGCTGCTGATGATTCAAATGCTCCTTCAGAGTATTTTTTCCACCCTGACATGAAAAAGGTTTTATTTGAAGCTGTGAAACGCTGGCACAATGTTAATATCAAACCATAGCAGCGAAACCTCAACACTTGGGTCCTAAATAGATGTTTTCCTGTTCCCAGCAGACGACAGAGACGACGATGACCTGTTGATGAAGGCTCCGGACAAAAGACGAACCTGGAGACACTGATGCACTGGGACGCGCCCCAACACCCATCTCTAGCTATTCCATCCCCCTCTCCTTCCTCTCAGATGGACCCAAACCCAGAGCTGGGTTCTTCCCTCCTCACCTGACACCCACCCTGTCATCAGCTTCAGGATTGTAGCGAGGAGAGAGGAGCAAAGACGGCAGGACAGACGAAAACGGATATAAAAGACTAACGAAGCTCCGGAGAGGACCAGCCAGACTTTACCCACCTGCTGCCTTCTGCTTCCTGCCTTCAGTGTTTGCTGGATTTTTCTTGTCGCTCAGTTTTCCAAAGCAGGGACTCACGGTGTGGCTGCGGCACAGCTGTTCAACGGGACTCTTCTGAAAACCAGCTGGATTCGGTCAGATTGTGCGAGTTTCATCGACAGGGCTTCTTTGTGAAGCGCAGCCATACTGTAGCGACTGCAGCTCTCGCCGCTCTCGCTGGACACAGTGAGCAAAGTGAATGTGTGTGAGTGCAAGTGTGTGTTTCTCTTTTGTTTTTGTTTTTTAGATACGACTAATCAGCAGCACAGACAGTAACGTGGCGAGGCGAGGTTCAATAACTGTTAAAAAAAAATGTTTAAAAACAGATAGAAGCTGTAAAGAGCTGCTGCTGCTGCTGCTGCTGCTGCTGCTGCTGCTTGTCTCTTCAGCCAGTCTGCAGCTTCATGTGCTGTAAGAATATATTTCCACTCAGTATCACTCGTGTAGGTGTCGGGACCGAGCCCGGTTTGATCCCTCTGCTTCTCTGCTTCGATTGTTCCTGTTCTGAATCAAGTAATATTTTATGAATTTTTCTATCACTGTCGTTTATGAACATGAAGCTGGTTTGTATTTTGTATTTATTGAATGGTGTGGAAACCAAATAAAGACGATGTTTGTTGGTACAGGAGGGAATGCCTGTGGCTTTGTTCTGGATGCTGCTGCTGCCAACCAGCCTCCACTAATAATCCCTCCTCGCTCCCTTTATGCATTTATATCTGCGCTTTTCATCTGAAGTCTTTGGGATTCTGGTTTTCCACTTCTGCAGCTTTCTTTCTTTCTTTCTCTTTCCTGTTGTGTTGCTCTCTCATGTGGAGCTGTGATCAGAGCAGTGACGAGCCACACTGCTCTTAACTCGGAGCTTTTTCTTTCTCCATTGTTGTGTTTTTGCCTCTTTATAGCCTTCGTCGTCTCCACCCGTCTTTCTTCTCATGTTTTTCTTTCCTCGTTAAATTCTTTCTCCTCTGATCTCCTCCTTTTTTCTGTCCTTTAATTTCCTGTTGTCTTTTTGCCATTTCTCTCTTTTACGCTGTTTCCTTTTTACTCTTTTTCCTTTCCTTGCTTGCTTTCCTACTCCGACGGTCACCACATGTGCTCAGTAATGTTTTGTCCTTTACATGCCTCCCCGTGTACACACACACACACACACACACACACCAACACACACACACACACACACACAGAGTGCAGACAGACTGAAACATAAACACATATTCACAGATGTACACATGTGCAAACTCCTGAATCAGGAACACACACATTGCCAAAGGGCAAGAAGAATTCTTTCCAATATGCACACACAGACAGCATCTAAATGTGCTACTGCACTCTGCTGGTCCAAACAGGTCATTACACCGGAGCTGCTCAGAACCCAGCTGGCCGACGGCACCTCCGCCGGCACCTGCTGACCTTCAGTGTGTGGACGCCTGTGTGTGCCAACACTGTGAAGGCATGTTGGAAAGTCATCAGGAGGCCGGCGGGGGGCGGCGTAGGGGGCTGTCAGAGCCGGATGGTGGAGGTCAGAGGTTAAGCATCCTGAACTCTGCTGTGTGGCGCCGTGTCGCGGCCTGAGCCCTGCACCTGCATGTGTGACAGCCATCACAAACCAACATTAATCACACAACTTTGCCCTCGTTTTACTGTCTGAACATTTGAACCTGGCTTTGCTTTGGGCTTCTTCAGTTTGTACACTAAACTGTTATATTGAAAATATCCCAGTAGATGGTCAGACTGATATAAAACATTTAAACTGTGATGAGGAATTTGTTTTTATGGTAACTCCACTTTAAAAAGTAATTCAATCACCCGACTCCCATCATTTAATGAAATGTGTGGCTACAAGATAAAAATTATAATTTAATGATTGAGATAAACCTTTTCATTTAACAAAATTTGCCTTTGATAATAATATTAATTACACCAACGTCAGATTGTGTTTAATTAAAAATCACATTTCTGCATGTCTGCTTTGGCTCGATGAAGCATTTTTTCTTCACCCTAAGGTCAGAATTTCAAATTCAGTTTTTAAATTGCCGACTTTAAATCTTGTGTTTATGATTACGGTGATTCAGTACATCACATTTTAAAATTCTCTTTAAATAATGTGGAACAACTCCTGGAAACAACTTGATATATGCTTAGTAACCAACCTCAGCACTTGTGTTCATCCTGCCAATCACTAGGTGGTAATTAGAAATACCCTTGATTGGGAAGAAAAAGCTAATTCCCCCAATTCAACATAGTTTGTTGGTTGAACATAATTTCAAAAGAACTTACCATAACGTAAATGTCAATGCAAACAATTGCCCCAGACATGATGTTTACAGTGTAAGTTGGCACCTGAAGTGTTTTGGAAAAAACAAACATCATCGTCTTTTATAACCAACACGACAAAGACGCCCAGCGGCTACAGGAGCTAGCTGCTAACTATGTCTCTGCTGAACAGTGAATATATGAGAGTGCATTTGCTCTAACAGGTCAACTAGTGCAATTACCTGCATGTTGCTAAAACACTATGTAAAGCTCATCTGTCTGTTTCATAACAGCAGCCAATTAGCTTAGCTTAGCATAAAGACAGCTAGCCTGGCTCTGTCTAAAAGAAGCTAACAACAATTCTCACTATTAACACGTTATGTTCACAGGGGGTTACAGTATGTGTCCGACTATTTCTTAGCTCAAAGCACCGATTATCTGAGGTATTCATGCTAAGCTAATGCTGAGTTTACACCTAGCATCCACACGACTCCAGAGGTTTTGGAAACACTGCTGACTGTGTTTTAGTTACCTTTAAAACCTCCGGGGTTGTGATTTAGTCTGTTCAAACAGAAATGGAGGCGCTCTGAAGCTATGATGCCTTGTTTGTTTTCTGGCTGAGCGCTAGAAATGTGGCTACATGTTGCTCTCTGATGTCATGCTAACATGTTCGTATGCTAAGTATACCAGTGTGAGGGGGCTTTGTGTTTTTAATGTGCGCATACAGGTGACGTACTTGGACTCACTTTTCTCTGTGTTTGGAGAAAAAAGATGACGTTGATCGTGTTAGTTAGCTAAAACTAGCTATGGTTAACTAAAAAACAAAAAGATAGCCAGTGCAAGCTTGACTGTTGTACACATTTTTATTTCTAAACTATAATTTTAAAGGTTTTGAGCAAGATACTTGATGTCTAAATTCTTGAAATGTCCATATCTATTCCATACAGTTAGCATTTGCTAATGTAACCCAGGTTATTCACTGTAGTTCGCAGCATTTACAGATTTCTGATGTTCCTTAAACGCACCACATAGGTTTACGTAGGTTCCCTGAACACATCACGGAGCGGGAGTGAGAAGCGTCGGCGGGACGCAGAAGTTGTTCTCTGATTCCTGTGTTTAGACAGGTGAAGGAAAAAGGTTCGCTGTCCTGGAAAAGAAGCCAGATCCGTGTGGTTCGGGTTGAGTGCCGCCAGTTGTTGGAGACGTTGTCACCGGCAAGAACTCTGAGGATGTTTAGTTTATTTCCGTGGACATGCTGGTGAGTTAGCTTAAAAAAATGTGCTTGATAGCATATGTTTCATTATGCACGGGTCATAGTGTGTGTAATTTAGTTTTAAGGTGTTATAGAGTAAAAAACAGTCAGGATACTGTATGTAAAATGAAATATTTAATGTGCCACCATCAGTCT